AAATCAAAGACTTTCTCTCAAAACTTTTTATATTTCTATCGATCAGATTAATTTATTTTAATGCTTGAGGAAATATAACATGAAGAGCATATTACAACAAATATTCGTCCTTTATTTAGCTTTGTAAATCTTGAACAATTCGGTTGTTTTTAACCAGCTATCGTATGTTTTTCGTTCAAGAAAAAGCTTTGTTCGCCTCCTATCGCGGGGTCCAGTCGGCAAAACAAAGAAGACTTTTAGATATCTTTCTACAGATAATTTATTTAATCATTAAATGAAATATAGATTTTTACCAAATATTCAACTGTTTATTAAGCTGTTCGAGCAAGTATGATTATAAAAATGAGCTTAAATTTGTGTTGTTGAAAGATGTTATTGTATAAAGACCTACTAGACTATCACTCTAAAAAGCTAAAAAATATTCAAAAACATTTACAAACGCCAATTTACTGCCAAAGAAATGAGTCATTTTGTATTTTGCATTGCCTTTTTCATTATTTTTTATTTTGTCTCAGTTGTTCTTGTCAACCGTTTAAATGAATGTAAGCTCTGTTTTTGGAAAACTGTAAAAGACCTATTAAGTAAACCTCATTTTTTGCTCAACTTAACCAGTTTTCAAGTCTGTTTTTTGGTCTTGATTTGTCCTAAATCTCCAGATTTTCGATTTCAATGAAAGACATCCGAGGAAAATTTCACTAAACTTGATATTGTATTGGATTATCTGTTGTTAGCTTTCGTTTTTCTTTAAGTAAAAGAGATTCAAAGCCTAAAACTTTAGGCCTTGGAAAACGTTTTGTCGAAGAATCTTCCAAGAACAAAACTAGCCCCTGGGGGTGGTGGTAAGTTGTGTACAAAATTCCTAAGTGGGAGAGCATACTCGCGCAAAAAAGCAAAAAAAAACAAAAAACGATGTAGTGCATTTCGATTCGATTTCACTGCATGGTTTTTGTTATGGGAGAAATTATCATCATTTCGAATAAAAAATAATTGAAGATTTTTTCGCCGATCTTATTTTCACCTTTCAGTTTCATTCAAATTGTTCTCCCCGTGACTTCCGTATCGTGAGCTCCGCTTTTAGGCAGTTCCCAAAGTATAGATGTATTATTGATAATTGAAAAAATGATAGAAATACTTATTCAATGTAATTTTACAATAAAAGATAATAATAATAAAAGATGATAATCGATCTATAATGAAAAATGATTGTGCACCCTCAGTGACACTTGATGGTACGGTTCAACATCAAACACAAGACAATAGGTTTGTTCTATGGAGTTTCCAAACCATTCTTTTCCATTAATTATGTAAAAATAAATTTCTAAAACAAGTGCATTTTTGACCTTCACTTGAGCTCGATAGTATTTCAACTTGTAGCTCACTCGTAAATGAAAATTTTCTTTTAGAAAATGTTTATTACTTTCAAAACATAGATCAACCAAGCGAACTATTAAGAATCAAGCAATTCTGAGAGAAATCCTGAGCAATGATTAGCCTGTATTTGGGTCTTAAATGAAGCATTTCGATTTTAAAGAAGGCTATTAAAATGTCCGTGCGAATGTTCACGTTTAAGGAGGCTAGCGTCTAGGCTACGTAGCGGCTACGATCTAATTACGTAAGCCAGATACTAGTAAACTTTCCCAAACAGGTAACCCGGTCTACCCTGCCACCAGGGTCTTGTTTTAAAAAGAAATACTTTATTCCTTTTTCTGGCAATGAAGTTTTCCTCTTTAGTAGATATTAAATGAGGGTTCTACGTGACGGGCTTTGTCGGGCTGCCACGGGCCGGGTAGGGGAGGGGTGGTTTGCATCATGTCTATATTTAGCCGGGCCCAGTTTTTTTGGGGGGGGGGGTGTTATTTGTGAGGTTCCAATAAGGTGCTACTCGGCACCTCACTTCAATGACCGAAAAGTGTAAACTCTCCTACGGCGAATCAAGCCCTGGTCTCCCGCGTGACAGGCGTGTATACTGACCATTTCTTTATTTAAAATATATATTTCAAATATCTATTTTCAAACTAGTTATAATAATGCATATATTAATTCATTTTCGACTAGTACAAAGAAACCTAATGTTTACAGTTTGTGTTTTTGTTCACTTAAGAGGCTGTCTCTGTAAGAACCTTATAACCATTTTGGGTGAAAAAACAGATTTCTTTCAAACTTTGTGTGTGAGTGTGTCCTTCCAAGGTTATTTCCAAAACACATTTTGTTTTGTGTCTCGGCGAAGTTTCAGGGGGGTCCCTTAGGGGGCCAAATTGGTGATTTTGACTACTTCTCGTTCATGAAATTTGGGCGATGTTTAAAAATTCGTAAATTCATAACAAATCATCACTATGTAGATTCAGCTGTCAAACCAGTACGGAAGAGTAAAAGTTTGAATATGTCGAGTGTTTGTTTTCATGTAGATAAAATTGGTGGAGAGTCTAGAGGGAAGGTAAATCTCAACCTCGTTCCCAGGGCCCTCTCGGCCCGACTCCAAAACAAAATGGCGGTCGTCGGGGAGAAGACCCTGGTAAAGGCTGTTCTATCACTCGTTTTGATTGGTCCCTGAAAAAATTCTTTACGAGCACTTTGATTGGTCGAAATTTTATAGTACAAGATGGCGGACTTCTTATCTGTATTTCGTCTTGTTCCTCGGTAAATCGTTTCATCCTAATATGAAAAGTTGGTTTAATTATGATTTAAAAAGAAAGAGCAATGACCCAACAGCTTCTACTGATATCCTAAATGGCGCATACAAGGTTTGAATGATTGGTACAGCTTAGTTCGATGTTAAAAACCGCCATGAAACAAAGTAGGTTCGAAAGATTTTTTTTTATTCACAAATATGACCTGGAAGCTACACATGATACCCCACATAATACATAATAAAATCATCATAGTACAGGGTGCAAAAATACAACGCAAGGAAGTTATGAAAAACTTAATTGCGCACGATTAGTCTTCAAACGGAATAAAAGAAAGAACTTGAACATGAAGTTTACATACGAGTGTTTTAAGTTGTCTGTTGCCTTAATAATTCTATGAATATGAGAGTAATAAACTATTGTTGTATATTTATTGTAATAAATTACGGTAATACTGTAAATAAATAAAGTATTGACGTAATAAATTGTTGTTGGTGGTGTTAAAAAACCTCCAAGAAAGATACGTCTTGGGTAGCAATAGTTAAACGTGTTCATAAACAGTTAAGCTACGGGTCACTTGATAGACAATGAACAACTCCGAATCTCAGTATCCAAGCAGTCAAAACTATAAGAAGTAGCAGTAGCAGTAGAAAGTGAAACCATATAAGTAAAGTCCCGGAGTAAGTTTACATCACTTTTGTTTCTAAGCGACTCAAAAAATGGCTTAAAAACCGTTGTTGGTGAACTTTCGCACAAATTGCAGCTTTCATACTTCAAGCAATCCAAAAACTGTCTTGTAATCTAAAACGGGAGCAACATACACACGAAGAAAGGCCTTTTTTCCCACATTTACACGATTTGAAATACTAGTTTGGCCGCCATTTTGAAACGAAAACCACGTGATCAAATACTCCAAAAATCTTGGAGTATTTTAGGTCACGTGACCAGCCTTTACCAGGGTCTTCTCCCCGACGACCGCCATTTTGTTTTGGAGTCGGGCCGAGAGGGCCCTGGGAACGAGGTTGGGTAAATCTTGTAAACTACTGGAATGTACAGATGATATTCAAGGTCATCTTCTAAATTACCATCTTTCACGAGAAGACTTGACAGAGTATCAACTTATCTTAGCCAGGTCAGTAAAATCTTAAGTTAATGACGATGATGTCTCTGGTTGGTGGATCTGTCCAAAACATAGACATTGTTGGTACAGTATTGGGCATTTCTGGCTTCGAGATAAAAATAAATAAACAAAGAATGGGCTTCAAAGAATGAATTTACGAATTTTTAAACATCGCCCAAATTTCATGAACGAGAAGTAGTCAAAATCACCAATTTGGCCCCCTAAGGGACCCCCCTGAAACTTCGCCGAGACACAAAACAAAATGTGTTTTGGAAATAACCTTGGAAGGACACACTCACACACAAAGTTTGAAAGAAATCTATTTTTTCGCCCAAAATGGTTATGAGGTTCTTGCAGAGACAGCCTC